GAAGGTGAAGTACTTCTTAAAACAAAATGACTTGTTCTTAACTTTAACAATCACTCATAAATGTAAAGCTTTAATGCAAACAACACACATTCACTATAAACCACAGGTCAAACAGACACATATCATCAATCATGAGCATAAACAACAATAGCAACACTTCACAAAAATTCTGAAAACTCTAATACTTGAAAGAATACGTAAGACGTAGAATTTACCCCCTTTACACTCACTTGACTATATAGCTAAAATCCATCGGCTTCATGAACTAGGTACTCCAAAAAATGTCATGGAACATCTTAGCATTTAATCGACGATGCTCCCCCATCAACTCCATTCGTCTCGGTCGCCAAAAATCAACCACAACAAATCGCCCAAGCCATGTTAAAGCACACCTCCATATTTACTTAACCATTTCACTTGATATCCCTCTATGAAATAACTAAATGCGAGTAGTGTAATTTATGAAATAACTTGATATCCCAAAACCATACGATCCTGCAATTTTCCGCTTGTCGGTGGAATTTATGGAGTGGGGCCACGTTTTGGATTTGCAAACTTCTGGTGTCCAGTTTGATTCTCTCCCCTGATGCGTTCTGTGCTAACCTCGTCCCTATTAGCTGTCCCTCTCTTCCTCTGATTCCCACAAGCAGGCAGGTCTCGTATCCAGTTGGATTCTCTCCCCTAATCCGTTCTGTGCTAACCTCGTCCCTATTAGCTGTCCCTCTGTCCCTCTGATTCCCACAAGCAGGCAGGTCTGGTGTCCAGTTGGATTTGCAGAGAGCGGTTGCCATCCCCCGTGTTGATTTCCATTGGACGCAACTCCTTTTCCACCCATCTTGCTCGGCTGCTGCTTTGCGGAAGGAAAGGCTGAGACTGCTTTGTGGAAACGAAAGCATAGGTGCAGATCATCTCTTCCGCTTCCACCTTCGCCTGCGCGCTGTTGTTTCCCAGGCAGGTCTCTTAGACTGACAAGGATACTAGTTACATCCGCCAGGTCCCCCACTATCTCGACTTGCCCTCTTTCTTGCTTAAGCAGGTAGGTCTCATAGTAGAAGAGAATCAGAGAGAACAGTTACGTAGGGATGTGGTGGAAGAGTTGAGGGCGGCCTCTTTGGCGCTGATGAGACCGCGTGATGAATGGGATTAGGGTTGGGTTTGGTTTGGTTGGGTTTTAATAACTCGAGGGTTATTTTGGATATTTGATAAAGTACGGGTGAGGGTTTATCCACTTACAAGAAGGAGTATTTGGATGTGATACTTGCTAAATGGAGACATTACTTAGAAGGTAGGCAGTTCATTATCTTGACTGATCATGAGAGCCTAAAACACTTGCTTGGGCAGAAGGTGCATACTCAGATTCAAAAGAAGGGACTTGTTAAGTTACTGGGTTTGGATTTTGAAATCAGATATCGTTAAGAAAGTTCAATAAGGTAGTCGATGCCCTATCTCGACATCCTGGGTTTACAGACACTGGCCAATGCCAGGCACTGTCAGCAATGCTTCCTACTCGATTGACTAATCTTGAGGCCACTTATGAGGGTGATCTGTAAGTTCAAGACATGCTTATCAGTGATGTTATCCCTATGGTTGGTCCTTGGGTTAATGAAGTCAAGAATGGCATGTTATATCATAAAGGCTCCTTGTATGTGGGTCAGACAGGTAAGATGAGAAGGCAGTTGTTGCAGATGTTTCATAGTTCCCCTGTGGGTGGAAATTCTAGTGTGAAAGCCTCTTATCAACGCATAAAAAAGTACTTCTGGTTTCCAAGACTGAATAGACAGCTGCGTGATTTTGTGGGGCAGTGTGATACATATCAGAGGTGCAAGGTAGAAAATGTCTCTTACCTGGTTTACTTCAACCCTTACCTATTCCTGAAGGGGGTGGAAACAATTATCCATGGATTTTATTGAAGGCTTACCTAAGTCCAGTGGCAAGGAGGTGATCCTAGTAGTAGTGGACAGGTTTACCAAGTACAACCACTTTTTTGCTCTCACTAATCCTTATACTGTTGTCTCAGTTGCACAGGTGTTTTTTGAGGGGTGTACAGGATACATGGTTTACCTAAGACGATTGTTAGTGATCGTGATGCAGTATTCCCTCGTGTGTTTTGGTCTACATTGTTTGAGTTACAAGGGGTGAATCTTCACTACTCGATAGCCTACCATCCATAGACTGATGGTCAAACAGAGAGAGTCAACCGTTGTTTGGAGGAATACCTGAGGGCTACGATTCATCAGACTCCTCGTGGCTGGGCTGCTTGGTTACCTATGGCCGAATGGTGGTATAACACTAATTACCACACCAGTTTGCAGGCGACTCCCTTTGAGGCACTCTATGGATACTGTCACATGTGGAAGATGACATTGCGCCAACAAGGTGACAACATGGCGGCTGCACATGTGGCGTGTATGGAAGACTACAAACATAGAGATGCATCTAGGATTCTCCACCTAAATGAGAGCTTAATGGTGCACTTATCAGTCACATAATGGGTGACATTATGAGAGTGCATTATGGGGAGACTTAATGGGTGTAGTAATGGAGAGTGACATTATGAGGGGCATTGATGTCTTGTATGAGGAGAGGCCTATATAAGGAGTCATCTCCCTCACTTGTAACCCATCCCATATTTTTGTGAGCAATACAAGTAGAGAGTTCTCCCATCTTCCTTTGTCTTTCATGCTTTCTTTGTGTGCACGTGAGTTTGAGAGAATGTTTCCTAGTATCTCTAACGAATTTGAGAGCTAGGGTCGCACGATCGAGAGTAAGGTCGTGACAAGTGGGATCAGAGCCCGGTTTGGCTTGGTGCTAGCAAAAAAGAAGCATAGCCAAAGGAAGAGGAAGAGCCTCACCAAAAAGGTCGGGATCAGAAGGCTTAACCGATGTTGAGAAGTAAGCCAAATGTGGAAGAGATCCCAACAAGAGCTCGAGGCCAAAAGGCACGTCGAGCATGACCTTTGACGTCTCTAAAGAAGCGAGTCTCTAGAGTGGAGGTGAAACTTTCTAAAGACGTCATTGTCCTGGAGGATTTGGAAGCTAAATTCTCCGAAGTCCAAAGCAATGTTCAAGGAGTGATTGCTCGGTTGACGAATCTAACACCCTAACCTATATAAAAATTTTGTCCCCGAAATTGGAACTGTTGAGTAAAGACCCAGAGACGAACACTTGTCCTGAGACAAAATGTATTCGATCGAACTATCTTGGTTGGGATGTAACATTTCACTCCACATTAAGAAAATTTCGACCTCAAATTTGCTCCATATCGTAACCTCTCGTGTACGGTCATCTGAGTCAGCTTTCATACGAGCATTTGTATATTCCTTACTCAGAATGATGTCTACCCTCCTTAATTCGTTGGTCGTCATAACTTAGTAGCTAGCTCATACTATAGCTGGAAGCAAGGTTGTCAAACCGGTTTATACCGTTGTGCCGGTTTGGCAAGTGGAATGGTACGACCGGTGGTATAACCAGTTTGTGTCGGTTCATGCCGGTTTAAAAAAATGTGAAAACAATTCATATCTAATGTATCTAATCATATATAAAACATATTTATGGACAATTTAGTTACAATCCAATAAATATAATGAAATTTTAACTATTACATTAATAAAATAAATAAGAAATTAATTTTTTTATTCATTAAATTCATTAAAATGATGTCATTTTACTTAGAATGCATAAATCGATCATACCGGTGGTGTCATGCCGGTTTCATGACCGACACAGGTTGAACCAGGTTGAACCAGATGGCATGCCAGCGACATGACAACCATGCCTAGAAGAAATGCTTCCAAATCTCCATCGACCTTTACATCGTAATATTATATGATCTTGTACATGTTTTCCTCTTCCATGTACTTAATATCACCCTTTAGTATGCTTGGTTTGAACTATAATGTCCTTTTCTTAAGGCCTTGAGTATGTGAGGATCAAACTTTTCCGCAACCTCACCTTGTCTTTATTTATCTCGATATTTACCCTGCTCCTCCGAAAAATTATTTTTCTCTGTATGGCCCTCAAGGTTTCTATATGCTCTTTCCCGCTTATGTATTTTGACCTATGAGGTTTTCACTCATGTCGTACCTGTACGAACACACTTCCACCTTAAAGTTGATCGATGAACTTCTAAATTCCCAATTGACTTCCTATGGTCCAATTATTCTCCACTGGCAATCACCTTAACTCCTCCTTATTGCTTTTTGTATTCTTGTTTCGACTCTTCCTAACTATCTTCCTCCACGCCTCATATGAAGGTGGTTCGCTGAGATCATTACTTGCTCTTACAAGGCTTAGGAATGATCTATTATCCTTACTGTCATCCCTTAGTGCATTGCCATCTTCTTAGTTGTCCTCGTAAAGCCCTCATTTATCATCAACGCTCCTTGTGGTCGTACCCCAAAATTAGACCCTCGTGAACTTGGACGAACATTCCTTGCATCCTTTCCTCTAGGTTGATGGCCACCATTAGCCGGAATCTCTTGTCTACCATCTTTTGACGTCCTTACTAATTCGTGTCGCCTTTTAACCTTAAATTAGTTAGCTCGCATCCCTATAGCGTGTGAGTAACCTTGGACTGCCCCTTCTTGCTCATAAAGGGCGTCCATTGAGCAATCCCCATAGGAATCCTCCTTTTCCCCTTACCGGGATCTAACATAGTCCCATGGGGGCCTCCTTAGAATTAGAGTTATTCGCCTTATTATGATTAGAGTATACTGGAGATTCTATAAATTCGCAAAAGAAATTATTGACTCCTTTGGCCAAACTTTTAACTTGAACCCCATTTTTACTCTCCTTTGAAACAGAAACCTTTAAAAACCTAGATCGTCACTCCAGTATTCCTTGGAGACCAAGGAACAGAGGAATGTCGTCTCTGATACTAAAATGTAACACCCTAACCCAAATGTCATGGTGTTACATGTGTTACAATGAGCTTCGAGATCGGGCATGATGGACTACGAGAAGAGTTTCTGGCCCTCATCACCAACACCATCTCCTACTCCATGAACAACTCAATTGAAGTTATGAAAGAGCATGTTCAGGCTGAGTTGGGCGGCATGAAGGAAGAGATTGCAGAGCTTAAGAGTGAGGTCACTCTCATGAAGAGATCCATGGCTAGCAGACCAGCCTCGATGCAATCTATTCCACGTTCTAAAGTTCCAAGACTGAAGAACTTTGGAGGTTCAAGGAACGCGATGGAGTTAGAGAACTTCTTTTGCGGTCTTGAGAAGTACTTCAAGGCATCCGGCATCCAAGAGGATGAGGTAAAACTTCGCACCGCTCCCCTTTACTTGGTCGATATTGCAATGATTTGGTGGAGGCGACGTGAAGCAGACGTTGAAAAGGGTACGTGTGTGATGGCAATATGGGATGATTTCAAGAGAGAAATCAAGAAGCAGTTCTATCCGGATAATATGGAGTTTGAAGCCCATTCGATGTTAAGGAGGCTCACCCACAGGGGTGGAGTTCAATAATATGTGAAGGAATTCTCGTAGCTGCTTCTTGAGATCCCAGACATCACGGACAAGAAGGCCATGCACGACTTTCTTGATGGGTTGCGACCGTGGGCCAAGATGGAGATGCAACGGTGAGGAGTGCAAGACCTTGAAACTACCATAGTCATGACAGAGTCTTTTGTTGAGTACAAAAGGCAAGAGAGCAACACCAAAGAGAAGAATTCTAAGCCCAACAAGGGAGGACACCGTCAGCCTTTCAAGGAGGGCACTCGCACTCAATAACATGGTGGTCCAAGCAAAGGTGGTAAGTATGAACAAAAGCCCCTTACTTGTTTCATTTGCGATGGACTACATTGAGTGCGAGATTTCAAAAGGAAGGAGAGATTTGCGGCCATGGAGGCTCAAGATGAAGATCCCAAGGCAATGGAGGCCAAGATTGGTTCAATCTGCAAGCTTGGTGGGGTGAAGACCGACATCAAGGAGAGCAAGTGTGGGAGGTGCTATGTTGTGGCCCAATTTATACAAGGTGAGTCAAAATCCTTGGTGGATACCGGTGCCACAAACAACTTCCTTCGCATCGAGGAGGGAAACCGGTTGGGTATTGCCTACAAGAAGGGGCAAGTGTGGCTCAAGACGATCAATTCAGAGTCCATCCTGATCCATGGAGTTGCGCATAACGTGCCAGTGAAGCTTGGTGAGTGGGAAGGCATCATCAACTTCTCCGTCGTCACAATGGGCGATGACCGTGTCATCCTCGGCATCAACTTTCTTGACAAAGAGGGAGTGCTCTTTAAGCCCAACTCCAATACGATGTGCTTGGAGAAGGAAGGGGAGTTCCATGCGGTCAATCTCTTGAGAGAGGATGGACCCCATAGTTCTTTATCCGCCATGCATGTCATGAAGGGGTTTAAGAAGAAGGAGCCAACGTTTCTTGTGTCCTTGAAAATGGAGGAAGAAGGAGGCTCGATGGTAATCACGACTCCCATCATCGAAGGTGTGCTTGAAGAGTTCGATGATGTGATGTCATCGAAGTTGCCACCAATAAGAGAGGTGGACCACAAGATCAAGTTGGGGCCAGGAGCCAAGCCCCCTTTGTGAGAACCATATCGCATGGCCCCACCAAAGCTAGAAAAGTTGCTGAGGCAGCTCATGGACTTGTCAGACGCAGTCTACATGTGGCCATCGAAGTCACCTTTTGGACACCGTGATGTTCTAGAAGAAGAAGGAATGGTCATTGCTCATGTGCATCGACTATAGATCCATCAACAAGTTGACTCTAAAGAACAAGTAGCCGATTCCCAACATTGCGGACTTGTTTGACCAGCTTGGAGATGCAAGATGGTTCACCAAGCTTGATCTTAGCTTGGGATACTATCAAGTGCGGATAGCAGAGGGCAACGAGCCAAAGACATCTTGTGTGATGAGGTATGACTCTTATAAGTTTCTTGTGATGCCATTTGGTCTCACCAACGCACCAACCACGTTTTGCACTGTGATGAATCAAGTGTTCGAGCCACTCTTGGATCGATTCATCGTAGTGTACTTAGATGACATCATAGTGTCTAGAAAAATACTCAATGAGCATGTCGAGCACCTACGTCAAGTCTTCCAAGTCCTTCGGGACAACGAGTTGTATGTCAAAAGGGAGAAGTGCACTTTTGTCACCACGGAGGTTCCATTCTTGGGGCACATCATAGGTGGAGGCAAGTTGAAGATGGATGGGGCAAAGGTGGAGGCAATCCATGAAAGGGAGCTTCCTACGAAGATGCCATAGTTGTGGTCATTTCTCGACCTTGCAAATTACTACCGAAGGTTCATCAAGGGTTACTCCAACATTGCAGCACCCTTAGCGGATCTTTTGAAGAAGAACAAGGCTTGGCAGTGGTCGGATCGGTGCCAAGAAGCATTCGAGTCCTTGAAGCAGCGGTGATGAAGAAGCTCGTGTTCATGCTCTCCAACCTGACGTTGGCCTACGAAGTGCAGACCAATGCATCCAAATTTTCAATTGGCGATGTTTTGATGCAGGATGGGCATCCCATTTCCTTCGAGAGTCGGAAGCTCAACGAGACAGAGAGGCAATACACGGTCCAAGAGAAGGAGATGACGGTCGTGGTGCATTGCTTGCCACATGGAGGCACCACTTGTTGGGGTCAAAGTTCGTAGTGAAGACGGACAACGTGGAGATGAGATACTTCCTTACACAGAAGAAGCTCATCCCCAAGCAAGCAAGGTGGCAAGATTTTTTGGCCGAGTTCGACTTCGTGATGGAGTACAATCCCGAGAAGGAGAACTCTGTTCCAGATGCTCTTAGCCGGAAGAGTGCAGCCGCAAGCATCAACCATCCCATGTTTCCTTTGAAGGAGCATATCATTGAAGGCCTTAGCCATGACCACTTCGCCAAAAACGTGGCAGAGTACATCGAGTAAGGAAAGACTCGACGGTTTTGGATGAAGGATGGTCTCATCAAGACCAAGGGAGAGCGTGTGTTCGTGCCAAGATGGGCCAACTTGAGGAAGGAGATCATGAAGAAGAACCATGATTCAAGTGGGCGGGGGCCATCCTGGCATCGAGAGGACGCAAGCGCTCATCGATAAGCATACTTCTGACCACGTATGAGAGATTACATGGATATGTATGTGAAGACTTGTCTTGTGTGCCAACAAGACGAGATGGGTCAGAGAAGCCCGACAGGCTTGCTGGAGCCCATTCCCATGCCTCAATGACCATGGGAGAGTGTAAGTATGGACTTCGTCATTGGACTCCCCAAAGTTGATGAATGTGGTTGCATCATGGTTATGGTGGACAGGTTCTCGAAGTATTAAGTGTTCATCCCTGGGCCAAAAGACACGACGCCAGAGGATGAAACACGGTTATTCTTCAAGAATGTGGTCAAGTGTTGGGGCATTCCTAGCAACATCGTGAGCAACAAAGATGGGCGCTTCACGAGCTGATTTAAACTTCTCAACAACTTTTCATCTGCAAAGCGACAGACAGAAGGAGCTGGTGAACGCCTTGCTGGAGGTGTACTTGAGGCACTATGTGTGTGCTAACCAGCGAGATTAGGTGAAGTTGATGGATACGACACAGTTCTCCTACAACTTGCACCGCAACAAGTCGACCAACACGAGTTCATTCGATTTGTTGACGGGGCAGCAGTCCTTGACACCTACGATGATGGAAATGGGGTATATAGGCAATAGTCTGGCAGCCTACAAGTTTGCAAAAGGCTGGCACGAGAAGATGAAAATGGTCAAGTCTTACTTAGCCCGCGCTAGTAAGAAAATGAAGAAGTGGACGAAGAAGAAGAGGCGGCAATGGTGTGAATCCCTTTTATCCATGAACTGACTGTCTTACTTCCATTTCTTCTCATGATCCTGGCTTGAGTCTGGTACTCGCACTGAGAGATATAGGGAATGTCTTAGAAGACCAGTTGACCTTGTAAGCTGCTATATGATCTGGGAAATCCTCTACCGATGATCGGGGTTGTTTGTTGCTATAGAGGTCTGGAGAGTTGCATTGTTTTGAGTTAGGTTTGCTTGGGGACAAGCAAACGGTTAAGTGTGGGGGAGTTTGATAGACCATTGATTGCACATGTTCCCTATTCTTGAGCCGTTTGAGATGTTGATTCTCGTATTTTATGCCTATTTCATGCTAGGTTGTGCGTTTATGTCATATTTCAGGGCTTAGCGTTGGCATCGAGGGGTCGAAAGGAGCACGTTTGGGTTGAACTGTGTTGGAGGAGAAAAATACCCGGCCATGGGCAGAAATACCCGGCCGGGTATTAATCGGAGCAGACCGGGGAAAACCTGTTTTGGGCGTTTGAGAAGCAGAAGGGGGCCCGGGCATTAATCATAAATCCCCAGTCGGGTATTCTTGAGCCTGACCGGGGATTAACCCTTGTCCCCGACAGTGCATTTTGAGAATACCCGGTCTCCACCTAAAATACCCGACCGGGTATTCAGGCCGGGGATGGCGACAGACAGCTTCTTAAGGGAAAAGAAGGGAAAAAGTGAAGGGTCCGAGTTTTAGAGAGACAAAGCGTCTACCTAGAGAGAGAAAGTGACGAACCTGATTCTTCAAGTGTCTTTGATCGATATCCATCACCATTGGAACCCAGCTTGAGCTTGGAGAAGAGCTGATTGAGTGCCAGAAGCATATTCTCATCCTTCACAGTATGGTTTCCGCATCTGAGCTAAACTTCCCGTCTCTCTCTATGGAGTAACTTTCCTATTCACCTGGGTGTGAAGAACCCTAGATTTGTGTGTTAGGTCTGATTGTATGAACCCAAGTACAGATTTAGTGATATGATTATATTCAATTGAGGTTTGATTTGTTGAATGGCACGAATCCTAATCAAATTCCTATTGTTTCTGCTTTAACCTAGAAAGAGAATATCTGCCTAGGTTGATAGAGTACCCTTGATTGAAGGTAGTGAATTGGTGACTTTAGTCGAGGAGTCAATTCACTATTTTGTACCGAATTTACTTCGGTAGTGGAGGTTTGGTTCGTTAGGGCCTCAATCTGTTTACTCCGGTGGAGGTTAGTCGCCTGCTGGGGACTCAGATTGAGAGGGTATGGAGATCTTTAGTCGAGACTGCAGACTGTTTAAGAACCTCCCGCGGTATAACTATAATTGAACTTGAACTTGGTAAATTACAATCTGGCTTAATTGCAGTCTAGGGGGAACCATATCCGGGTGACCTCTCTCGACATGAAAACAACCTTTTAACTGCTTTGCTTGTTTGCTTGTTTGGACCTTCACTACACTTTCACTGCTAAATAATAAGAATTCACGGAGTAGTCATCACACTTAGGACCCTGGTTGACATTAAAACCCAAACCCGCTATACTACGCTTTAGGAGGTGGTTACACTTGGCCATTTTCTAGAGTGACGGTAGGAGCGAGTCAATGATGGTGAAGTTCTACCCTCATCGCTTCAAGCATCTCAAGAACGTGCACAAGGGACTGCTTCGCTGCTATGAAGGGCCATTCCCCATCAGGTCTTTCATATGAGCCAACTCAAGAATTTCAATGAAGACAAGGAGGACGAGCAGTGAATGGAGTCACATCGTGCACCAACACTCGTCACCAAGAACACGACCATAAAGTCGAAGAGATCATGGTGCATCGTGTCATTCCTCGTCGTGGTGTTCATCCAAGCTACGTGGAGTACTTGGTCAAGTGGTGCAACCTTCCGGAGAGCGAGGCGAGTTGGGAGAATGAGCTCACACTTTGGAAGAACAATGACTTGATCGAGGCATTCCATCAAGAGGACGCGACAAGGGCGTCGCTAGAACAGGTGGGGGAGGAACAATGTGGCATGTTGTAATGGCTGATAAACTCAATCACCAATAGTGGATGGTGGGAATACTCAGGTCAAAATTGACACAAGCTCAAAACAGACAGAAGCGAATAGCTGACAGACATCGAACTGAAAAAGGAACTGCAAGTGAGAGACATGGTTTATCTGAAGTTAAGGCCATATAGGCAGACTTCGGGATTGCTAGAGCAAATCAGAAGCTTGCTCCAAGGTTTTATGGTCCATTCCAGTTGTTACAAAAGATTGGAGCGGTTGCTTATAAACTGCAATTGCCTGTTGGAACTTTAATACACCCAGTCTTCCATGTGTCCTTGCTCAAAGGGACTTATTGTGAACAGCCTACTATATAACCAGTGTACCTGAATTGGATGAAGATAGAGCCAATGCTCATTTTGGCTAGAAGGGTGGTGTTCAAGGAAGAAGATGCTACCTGTGAATACTTAGTTGACATCAAAGTTAGATTTCCTGATTTTCAAACTTAAGAACAAGTCTTTGACAAAGAGGAAGGAAGTTGTAATAGACTGTCTTTGATTGTCAATAGTGTGCAGTTAAGGGTTTAATTGCAATTGTACACGCGACTATAAAAGGACACGTTGGTAGGCTTGTAACGACATTCAATCAATACAACAAACTTTCACTCCAACTCTCTCTCTCTCTCTCTCTCCTACTTTACCTTCTCTATGTTCCCTTCTTCCTCTTGTTCTTGTCCTCTCTCCTGCTTTCCGCCATTACCATTCGTTTACTTATAGGTCCGGGCATAACAAATTGACCGAGTAC